ATTTATTATTTCATAGATTACGGCTTGCTCAAGGATAAATAAATAATATAAAACATTTATTTTACTATATTTGAATTTAAGGGATTATTCTCGTCTAAAATTTAAAAAATGTAGATTCTGTGTTTTTTGATATTCTTAAAGTTTAACTTATCAATTATTTTCGCATCTAATTCTAATTTCTTCCTCTGCAGAAATTAAAACGATTTTTCTCAAAACTGTCTTTTTAGAAACGATACCCACGATTTCTCAACTTTTACTGAACCGATTTTTTAAAAAAATTTACAGAGTCTTCTTTACAGTCCTCTTCTTCAGAATAAACTACGCTCATTCTCAAGATCCTTTCTTAACAATTTTTCAAAAATTCAAAAATATTAAAAAAGTCGTTTTTTTTTTTGAAAAAAAAAAACAGTGAACCATACTGAATCGACATTGTTCTACATAAATGGTATACATATTTCTTTTTCTTCAGATTATTTTGAGTGCCATTTTTTTTGAGACCCTTAACTTCACCTTATAGATTTAAAACTTTGACTATTTTTAATTCCATTCTTTTTTAAATTCTCAAAATATTAAACTCATCCCAAGACTTATAAAAATTATAGTAAAAATATTGTCTGTTTCTTTACGGCCTTGAAAAATAGCATAAAATTCGCATCTTTAGACCAGAATACTCCCTTACTACAATATGTAATGTGTAATGGATACTATGCTCAATACCCCCTTACTACAATATGTGATGTGTAACAATACTATGCTCAATACCAAGTACCATATTAGTAATATACATAAACACTATTAAGCTAAAAATCTCTTGTTGTTATATGATATTTCAGTTTTGGTAAAAGTAAAAAAAAATAATGCGACCGAAGTCATACTATATTTGAAGTTCCTACATAATGCGATTTATATTACCACTATGCCGGTGCAAAAATTGTTACAAAACGCGATAAAGAATACAAATATTCCATAGGAAAAAGTCAATCAAAGCCGTTTCGAGATTCCATACTACACGGAGAGCAACTATGATCTGTGGATGGAGATACATCGCTTTCCATTGAACTTTGGGAGAGAGGATCAACCAAGTACGAGAAACCATCGGATGCATTTGATATCGTTTGCTTATATCAGACGATGATACTGACGAATCTGAGATTTCTAATCTTCGCGAATAGATTTCGGGATAAAGATGTACCGTCATGCATGCCGCTCGAGAAATTTGATTAATTCAAATTAAACGTCGACATTGCTTCTTGGTCATAATTGCGATTTGGGGCTTAGAATATGTTAATACTTCGAACCCTTGCTTTTGATGACACCTACTTTTTGGTGGTTAATAAAAATTATCATACCATTCAATGTATCTAATGTAGGTCAGGTTCAAATTACTAGTGCAACCACATTTTAATATTTTTTATATTTATTTGTATTATTTTATTTTCTAAATTAATTAATATTTTATGATGCCCAGAAAAACAAAACATAAATTCACATTAAACGTCTACATTATACTTTTCCTATTATTGTCATCAGGAGTTTAGAATATTTATTGATACTTCGAACCTACCTTCTAATTATTAAAGCACAATTATATGTTTGCAATTTTAAATTAAATTTTAAACAAAAATAACCATTCTATTAAACTAATGTGGTTCAAGTTCAAATTGCTTATGCAACCGCATCTTCTCGTGTTTCATATTTGTTTCTTTTATTAACTTCCCGTAGGGTAAGTTATAGTGATTGCAAACAAATCGAAAATGAAAATTTTTATTTATGTTTACGTTTCAAAGGTTTCTGAACATTTTGGCATACCTTAGAAACAATGGATGTATATGTGTGTGTGTGTATGTATGTGTGTGTATGTGCGTGTATGTGTGTGTGTGCGGATACAAATTTTCGTCGACGATTTCGGAAACACGGATGAAGCGATTTGAATAATTCAAAAAACATTCGATTCGTATTGATAAGGTCTAGCCGTTCCGAAGATATGGGGCAAAAAGTGCCAAAAACTGTAACTCAGTTTTTAAGAGAACGGAGCGTCCGATTTGAATGATTCAAAAACCATTTCACTTGTATTAGCAAGATGAAGAACTGATCAAATTTTCATGAAGGCAGGTTTAGCGGTTTCGGAGATCTAGTAAAAAAAAGTAAAAAAAAATGCCATTTGGCGGTCAAAAATGATCATTAGACATATGCACAGCAAATTATCAGATATTTTATAGATATTTTAATAATAAGTATAAATTTTGTTTAAATTCCTGTGGGTTCCGTACCAATGTTTATCCGTTAGACAGCTACGCGGCGCTTACGCGCTTCGATCTTTCGTCTCTATGTAGATAAAGCAGTACGATTGCTTTGAAAAAAAGTTCAGAATTTCTAAAATATTTCAAAATAAATTTTTCTTCAAAAAGTCTTTTTTTTTTAAAAAAAAAGTAAATTTTTGTCAAAAATTTATAGTTTCTCAAAAATCTAATTTTTTCAGAGTATTTTTTCTTTCAAAAATGTTAATCTTTCAAAAAATAAATTTTTTTGTACGGGAAGTTCCAGCAATTTGCCTTAAGGCACGATGCAATGCGCCCCACTAGTTCAAAATAAGTTTGTGAAAAGATTAATTGATCAGATTTAAATAAATAAATAGACATCACAATATAAATCATATAAATAAAAACGCAATTGTTAAGCTCAATACGTAAAAAATAATTTTCTCTATCAATTTTCGTCCTTTTCCACTAAAATACAACAGTGCGTGCGATTTCAGTAATAAACAGATGATTCCCACTGGTTATCAATATGTGAACCATATATATATATATATATATATATATATATATATATATATATATATATATTGATTGCAAAATAATCAATTTTATTGCATACAAGTTGTTATTGGCAATAAAATATAATTCGTTCATCTGAAGGATTTATTATTGGGTCAATCATCTAACCAACTATGATATATCAACTACGTAATCAGAATAAAGTGCTGCAGATTCCCTTTCTTATCCTTTCATTTTAATCTATTTGAGCAATATTTCTGGTTTCTTCTTTATTATTGTATATTTAATAATATATATTAAATTTAATACATTTTGAAAAAAGCGAAGAAGAGTCAAAATTAAAATCTTTTCTTGATCTCATTTCAATATTGCAATATATTGCTCAAATTCAAACAAATAAATAGACGTTGCAATGTTAATATAATATGCATTTTTTTGATAGAATGATAAAAAAGTCCATATTTTTCAAATTTAATTATTTGTATATTTTATGAATAGAATTTTGGGAAAATTATATAATTGTGACCCCTACCCTAAATATAAATCCATACATACAAGTCCATATAAATCAATAAAAATAGAAGAAATTGATTTAATATTTAAATATTATACATTTAAAAACGCATAAAAAAAGTTGAGTTCGTAATTTTCGTAATTTTACTCTCTTTGAATTCTCTTTTTGTTATCAAGAGCACTAGGATGTGTAATTTCAAATCTTGAATTTTTCTTTTCAAAGAATATTTTGTTAGATTGCTATTTAATTAAATTACTTATATTTATTATAATAAATTTTGTGGTGTCACCACTACATATGTATATTTATATAATAATAATAATGGGTAGTGCTGCCCCAGATCCGTGAGCTGAGTTAAACTTCAACTCAATTCTGGGAAAAATAGTGTGAGAGGTTTCCCATTGCCAATTCACACCGCAGTGCCCGAAATGGGCTATTTTTAATTGGAAACATATTAGAAATTTAGAATTACAAAATGTAAAAATTAAACGAAATTTAATTAAAAAAATGTTGCTCCCAGGGGCTTAAATGCTTCCAAATTGATAAAAAAAATCCTGTATAAGTTTTAGCTCTTAATATTTTCTTTTAGATAGTGCGCAATTCAATCAAAGTTTTATATGGAATTTTTGTTTCTTTTTCTTAATTACAATATTTATTACAACTGTTAAATAATTTAACATCTAGCAATAATAATAAATAATAACATAAATTTAAATAAATAAGAGTACAAAGGATAGATTTTACATTAAAATGATATCCGTAGTATGATGATTTAATATAAAATAAAAGCAAATAATAATAAAAATCAAATTAATAAATAAAATAAATAAAATTTTTGAATAATATAATAATACTGGAAATAGCATGGAAAAATTTTCAAAAATTTTAAAAATGTTTTTTATATATAACTTAGCGATCAAATTAAATTGTGAAGATGACACGAATTGTAACTTTTAATACATTTGTCGCTAAGTTATACCTTAAAAACATTTTTGAAATTTTCGATTTTTTTTCCATACGAAGCTTTGATTGAATTGCGCACTATCTAAAAGTTAATATTAAGAGCTAAAACTTTTAGAGAATTTATTTTTATCAATTTTATTTGAAGCATTTGAGCCCCTGGGAGCAATAAAATTTGAAAATGTCCATATTAAGGACCACCCTAATATATATATGTATATATATATATATATGTATATATATATATATATATATATGTGTGTGTGTGTGTGTGTGTGCGGGTGTGGTTTGTGTAATCTAAACAGTTTTTTTCTTCAAAATTTTATGTTAATTATCTAAATCACACTTTAATCCTTTTGGGCACAAAATCAAATGAATCAATATAACAATTATATTATCCATGCAGATGTATTTTCCAAAAGGTTAAACAGGTGATAGTCATAGAATACAATATTATTGTCCGTCCGCTTGTGGGATGCAAGAAACCCGGCAGCCGAGCGGACGAAAACGCGATAACGCGGTTCGCGAAGAAAACGCTCTGGGAAGTGAACGTCGGCCGCCGTCCCAACTATCCCCGCGAAAGATTCGAGCAGCTGAGTAACAGATAAAAGATTATGACGCTCTTCGTTCATCAGTTGGACGGGGGAATCCCTATATATACGATTGAAGATCGCATCAAATCACACAGCACAGTCACACAAGACAATCACAGACACATCCCTGCAGTGTCCATCTTAGAAAATAGAAACATGAGAGCGTTTGTGGTGAGGAACAAGGATTTATTTAACATTTCTAAGTTCAAAACTTTTCGGTGGAAAATAGTGAGATTTTTCTGGTAAAAAGCTCAAATCGTGCGTCATGATCGATAAACATTCACAGTGAAGGATTTTGTGGATGTAGGATTTAATTTCAATTTGTTAACTTCAAAGTGAACAACGAAAAATCGTCTTTGGACGATGGAAGAATTGGATTTAAAGTCTAACATATGCAATTTTGGCTTATTTAAAAGTAACTGAAGAAGTCCAAGATTGCTTTCTACGATTTTATCCTATTTTGGATCATACATTTTAAAACAATCTTGAAGTGAATCATGTGATATTTATGGAATTTAAATTATTGGCACGGAAATAAAGTTTGCCAGACAGTGACTTGCAAGTGCCATTACCATTAACATGGTAGTGCAAACATTCGGATTATACAGTATAAATCGAATCCTATCTACTAAAATAGTCGAAACCCTTGAATGAAAAGTATAATAAGACCAAAAATTAAAAGTTTTAATATCAAAAATTTTGAAAATTCTTACTGCTTAAAAGTTCACCATTTTGAAGACACTTTTATACCGCGATTTTTCAAATTATTAAAGTTTTCAAAATCCTTTCCATACGCTACAAAAGTCACCGTATAAAATTTTCTATTTCTATTTATTTCTTCTATAAATAATATATTATTTATTTTTTTCTGCAGTTAGTGACATTGGCGGCGTTGGCACACGCTCGGCCCGAGGCAGGCTACTCATATAACGCACCTGGACGAGGAGGCGGAGGCGGCGGTGGCGGTTTTGGAGGCCTCGGGGGTGGATTTGGTGGCGGTGGTCTTGGCCACGGTGGTGGCGGTGGCGGTTTCGGAGGTGGCGGAATTGGTGGAGGTGGTTTCGGAGGCGGTGGTATCGGAGGAGGCGGTTTCGGAGGCGGTGGCATTGGAGGAGGTTTCGGAGGCGGCGGCGGCGGTGGCGGCGGTTTCGGAGGTGGATTCGGAGGTATGTAAAAATTCTGAGAGAATATAATTTTAAGTATACGTTTTTCATGAAACTTCGTGTTTTCACTAACTAAAACTTTTCAACAACTTCTGCTCACGCAAAGTAACTAACAGAAAAATTGTGTTGACCAATACCATTATGATAAGAATTGTGAAGACTTTCAGAAGATCAGTTACTATTGCATGTAAAAGCTACGAATTTTCATAATTTTACAAACTTTCAAAAAAAAAAAAAATTAAATACATTTTATTTGAATTCACAAATAATATTTTAAGAATATAAAATAATTATGAAGTAAACAATCTAAGTATGTTTTGGTATTTATTACTAAAAGTGATAATAAATAAAATAATGTGTTGAATATATTTTAATCTATCCATGTTCTCGAGTAACTAAAATAATCAAGTAGTTAAGATTTAGCTCTGGAATAATTACGGTACAAAGAACATCAGCAAATCAAAACTTAGTGGATACACATTTGCATATATTCCTCTATTTTTTCATACTTATCACACTCACTGCATTAAATATGAAAACATAACACTACCATCTTGCCATTATTTCATCTTTTTTCCTTAAAACTCAAAAAAAAGCAATAATAATATCAAGAATAATATATCACCGAACACATTTCTATCACCTTGGCTCCCTTAGCAATATTCATCATATGTCCTAACATATTAAACTAGTAAATGAAAATTTTCTATTGCCACATCTAATATACACTCTCACATATATTTCTCAATTTCGAAAAGTATTGCACGAAGAATTTCTGTAAATAAATTGGTTTAATGCAACTTTGTTACATATTCTGCACGGTTCTGCATTGTCATCTAATTTATATTTTTAAAGACTATGGTGTCCGCGTAGTTCTAACATTATTCATCATATCGCAAAAAGCATCAAATGTATTAATATTATTATTTACTACACATAAGTTACTGCGTGATTAATAATGTGCTAATAAAAATATAATTCTATTGATCAGTACGAGGGACCGACATAGTTGATCTTTGTCGGAAATTAATGACTAACAAAGTCTATCGTACTCTTCATAATACATTTCTTGTATAGAAAACTTTTGAATGAAAGTCATTATGCTAAATCGTTGCTCATATACAGTGCAACGTGTTACCATAATTGCCTTTTCAACACGTTTTCTCCTGTTGGAAGAACAGTAATGAGATTGATCTTGTTACCAGTGGCGTTTGATAATATAAGGGGTAAAATAAAAATAAAATAATGCTTGAATACAGAAGCTTGAAAATTATGAAAACTATTATAAGCAAATAAAATATTAGAGGTACAAAAAATGCATGCAAAAATTGAGCCAAAATTGTCATTTTATATTTATATTAAGATTCATAAAGTTCGGAATTGATCACAAGGTAAAACTTTTCCACAACTTATTGTTAAAAGCAAAATGAGCATATGCCACTGTAGTTAGTGCATATCGCATTACATTCGAGATATACGTGCTTAGAGTTTTAAAGCAAAAAGTGAAAATAAAATGTGAAAAAGATAGCCGCCGCGGAAAACTCATTATTGTTTGATAAATATCTCTTGAAGTCTTTATTTTCAGTTTCAAACAAGACAACGCGACGTACGTGCGTATAAATATGCATTGTCTACATATTGTTAGTAAAGCTTTAAAACTTTTATTACGTTTCACATGAATACTTGGCCGTTTTGTGTGCAAAATATCCAATGAATGCAATTCAATATTCATGTCGTTGGAAAGCATTATGGGAAGTTGTTTGTTCGCATTTACCTATTTATCAAAGGCAAAGGTAACAATTGATGCTACATAGACTTTTTCATTGATGAACATCATTAATAGTAATCGAAACTTAAGAAACATGAATAGATACAAATTTTATGCGTTTTCTGTAATATAGTAATATAATTTTTTTTAAACATATTTGTGTTCAAAAATACTTCAAAATTTTATATTGGTCTTTTGGAATCCAATACCTACATCTGTGGAATAGATAGTTACAATGGAATTTTTGATTTGCGTGTGAATTTAGAGTGAGTTATCAACAAACCATCATAATTTTCAAAATTAAATTTGTGCAGTTAAGACAAAATACTTATTTTGCACCATTAACCTCTAGGCACTGGCAATATGATTCAGATCAGATGCCATTATAATAAATAAACCTCTAGGCACAAAAGTAGTCAAGATTATATCTTCTGCACAAAAATAACAACGAAATATGTCTATTACATTTCAGGTGGGTTTCGGAGGCGGTAGCATAGTCCAAAAACACATATACGTCCACGTACCTCCACCAGAGCAACAAGAATTCAGACCACAAAGGCCGATTCAAGTAGCCGCACCCCAAAAACATTACAAAATCATATTCATTAAAGCGCCAACTGCGCCTACACCAACTGCTCCTGTGATACCCCTGCAGGCGCAGAATGAAGAGAAGACGCTCGTCTACGTATTGGTCAAGAAGCCGGAAGACCAGCCAGAGATCAGCATACCGACGGCAGCACCCACACAGCCCACGAAACCAGAAGTTTACTTCATCAGATACAAGACCCAGGTAAGAAAAATTGGTAAATGATGAGACTAAAATCATTAAATTGTATGCCGACGAAAGAAACTGCTGATTTTGATTTATGAATAATATGTTTGATACCCGAGTTACTTCAAATTCGGGTAGTCGGATGAACGATTGTTATGCTCTTTCCTTCAAGTAATATTGAACTTAGAGTGTCCTATGTGTTCGTGAAAACGAAGTCTTACAGTGAAAACTAGAATCGAAATCAAATTGTACGTAGTTTTGAAACATTTGTTCTATTTACAACCCTTTCCATTTATTTCAATTTCAGCCCTAAATATAAGGTTGTCAAATATCTCCCTTCCGCCTTTTTGTATTATAAACCAAGAGCAAAAAAGCGGAAGGGAGATATTTGACAACCTAATATATATAACTATGTATTGCAAAATGCTTATAAATTTCTTATATTTTTTTCTAATATAAGTGCAAAATCTAGAAAACACGATCAAATTTAGAAAAACTACATGAGGCTCTAAAAATACTAAATCATAAAAAATAGTAATCTTTCCCCAATATTTTCCGTCTTTTACTATATTCGATCCATTTTTAAATTCACAGAAGGACGGAGGTGGCGGCGGAATTGGAGGTGGAATTGGAGGAGGAATCGGTGGTGGAATTGGAGGTGGTATTGGAGGCGGAATTGGCGGTATAGGAGGCGGAATTGGCGGCGGTCACGGAGGCGGTATCGGCGGCGGAATCGGAGGAGGTGCAGGAAGTAAGTGGATAAAATTATTTGATAATATAGAATTTATAACACAACATCATAAGTTCGTAAGACAAAAGATTTCATCGATAAAAGATAATAAATCTATAATATTTTCTAACATAAAAAAATTCAAAATTCATATAAAAAACGGTCAAATTTCAAAAATAAACTTAATTATCTGCAATGAAACAAATTTAAACTATTTTGAATATTGAGTTGCGACGAGTTAGATTTATTGTTTTTAAAATCCGCGCTGGTTCAATCGATACTTTATCTGAAATTGTTCATTTTACATACATCGATGTTCAAGTGAAAGTTTACAGATTTATAAGAATCTAACCATAGATCACGATTTATTCTTAAATAATGTGATGAATGAGAATTTAAAATGCAGTGATTAATAATACAGAAATACAAATAATATATGTATATTTTGTATATATATATATATCCAGTTTAATGCTAATCACACGTTACATACTACTTTCGATTAATCATTTCATAACTCTAGTCAATTAATCACAATTTCCGAAAATTCCAGGCGGAGGAGGAGTGTCTACTAGTTACGGTCCACCTGGACACACAGCCGGTTCATACTGAATAGGAAATTAAATTCAGTACTAAATCAATCATCAGCTCTGTGCAATACCCCATTATTTGTATATATATGTTTAATTACCATTTTCACATCTACATAACTGTATATCAATTATATATATGTTCATAAAATAAAAGCAATACTATTACGGTGACAAATAAATGTATTAAAAAAACTAAGTGTTTTTATTTTGGTTGTTTTGAAATTTATTAGAATATTTTTTGAAATCAACTTTATATAAGTATTAATTCTTGCAGCAAAGTGTCGTTGGTCTTGCAGCAAGTGTCATTTTTATTAAAAAGATTTTATTGATGCTTTTACCGAAGGATAAAAGGTAGAGGTTGTATAAATGTACCGCAATATTAATTTTGAGTGCTTATTGTTTCTTTTATTATCGGATTGTAATTTTTTGTGAATTTCTAATCATAAAAGAAAGTGCAAAATATATGCACATCATCACATATATTCATAGAAATTCTATATAATATTCCAAGGACGCCAAAATCCGAAAGTTCTTAACAAAAGTGATATTTTTCTTCAAGTGTGTGGTATCATGATAATGGCATTTGCAGCACCTTGCCTTTATAAAATTAAATTTTCATCGTCTTTAATTATTCAACTTTCGTTCGTTTGTGCACAATTGAGAGATATGTGCAATACCACGTACAAATAGCAATAAATTGCATTTGAACTTACAAGTAATTAGCTACAGGTAATAAACGCTTTCCAAATAAATTATACAAACTATCACTTTTGTAAATTTCATAATTAATTTACTAATAAAATAAATATAAAATAAAATTTTGTACGGCGCCGAAAATAATTAAAGAATGAATTTTAGAAGTTGTAATAAAGATGTTAACGGAATATTTCAAAGCAAAAACTAATTTATCGTGTATGTTATTTAATTAGCATCTTCTAAATCTGCAATAATTCATGTTAAATAGCCAGAGGCTGTTGTTCGTCTTATAAATTATGAATATTATATAAATGTTTATGATGAAGAAAGGCATCATAATGTTATTGACGAAGATAATGTTTAGTAAACGGATACCACGCAGAAGACATGACATTTCAACTTTTCTAGTCGTGCGAGAAGCGAGAGTTTGAGATATTTCACCTTTCCTACTACTTATATGCGATTTTCACATAGAGCACTATACGTGCCTCAATTTAAGGCCAAAAGACACGAACGATCTGAACATTTCATTTAGGGGAAATCGGCAACAATGATCAAAAACCAACTGAATAAATCAAGTTTACTGTTGAACGAATATACTTTATATTTGAAATTCATTTGTCCATCATATGATATTTCAAGAAATATAAACTATTTTGATTTCGCGATTTTGGAACTACAAGACCAAGGTTTCAATTCCTGTCTTACAAAATATAGATTTAAATAGGATTAAGTATAAATAGCATTTCTGGAGGTTGGTGCAACACCACATTTAGAAAAGTCGACCGATGGATTGTCTTCTAATAATATTCAGAATTAAACAGTAGAGTAGGCTCTCACTAATCCAACACTTCGATAGATCGACTCCTCCAGTAATCCGACACCCTCGCGACCAAAGTTCTTGGAAATTACAACTCTATTTCCAACATCATATGTTAAAGAAGACAAGATTGGAAAACCATCCAAATGAACTTGCGAAAAACCTACTCTCTACAAACACTATCAGAAGATTAAGAATATTAGATTCATTAGATTTAGTATAGTGAATTTACAATTTAGATTTATAATTATTTTCTGTTCATATTATACAAACTTAAAATAATACTAATGGGTGATATTTTGAAATATTATTTATTATTTCAGTCATAATAATTACTGAATGTCTTCTAGGCAGTTGTAATTTGATGGAATATGGAAATTATAAGGTTGTCAAATATCTCCCTTCCGCCTTTTTGTATTATAAACCAAGAGCAAAAAAGCGGAAGGGAGATATTTGACAACCTAATATAATAATAATGATGAAAATATATAAAAAAATCATATGTTAAAAATTATGACTTTTTCACTGTAATCTATTCAATTATATATTCTAAATCCATTAAACTTAGTATAGTGAAGTTACAATTTAGATTTATAATTATTTTCTGTACATATTATACAAACTTAAAATACTACCAATGGGTAGTATTTTGAAATATTATTTATCATTTTAGTCATAATAATTACTGAATGCTTTCTAGCAGTTGTAATTTGATATAAATATGTATAAAAAATCAAATGTTAAAAATTATGACTTTTTTATTATAATCTATTATATATCTATACTGTACAGATATCTCAATTAGTAAGGAGAATCAATGAATTTTAGACTTCTATTAACGTTCGTAAAAATAATAAACCTAAATCCCTCTAAATTGCTTATAAAACACACCTATTTCCGACTGCTTTTCAAAAAAAAATCGTCGATGTAGGGATTTTACAAAAAATACTAGTATCTCAAAAAAATAGTAATAGTAATTTAGTATTTATTTCTAGTAATATTGATTATAATTTTAAATATCATAAAAGTAAATATGTATATCATTTTATATTTTTTTTATCATATTTTTTTTTATAAATCTTAGTTTTACCTTAATTATAAGATATATTTAGATAAATGTAAGATATAATCTAAATAGTAACATAAAACTAACATTGATGAATGCAAATGAAAATAATTTTGATAATGTAGAGTATGATGTTTTGATAAGTTTTTATAATGTTGACTATCATACGATTGTCATTCATTTTGAATAAATGGATGAAATATCTTATGACTATTATCATATATATATATATATATATATATATATATATATATATATATAAATCTATTCCCAAATTCCCGGGTATCCCCCATAACCATAAAAGCGCACACGTCAAATAGATAATTACCGTATCTTTATATTTCATTGCCCATCAACTATGTTTGTAGAAATTCTTCAAGCATTTCGAGTAATATTTATCGATTGATTTCCAATTGATCATTATTGTTTGTTCGTTTACATAGTTTCGTCAGGTGAAAACTCAGGAGGAAACATCGAGCGCAAAAAGTAGGTTCTTACATTAGTATCTTGCACGGTTTTCTATGTTTTTAATCAGTCGTTTTCAATCGTACATGCAATAATAATACATATCGATAAACATCGAATAGCAAACATACACATACACACACAGATACCTACATATCATCTGCCTCATTTGCCTAAAAGCCTCATTTTTCTAAATAATAAAAAAAAGCATATATAAATATTTTCTGTGTTCAGGGGATTTTTCATCTTCTTCAGAAACCATTAAAAACAAATAAAAATTTGTTGATGCATTTTTATATATATTTAAAAATCACTTTCTAGTTTTTACCCTTAATGTTTCAAACTCACTGTAACTCATTCATTGTTGTTGTGAGTAATTAGAAAAACTAAAATTATGAACTTATTTTCCTAACCAATGTTTAACTACCCGTAGGGTAAGTTATAATAATCGTAAAAAAAAATTGAAAATGAAAATGTTTGCATATCTTCACGTTTCAAAGATTTCTGAACATTTTGGCATACCTTAGAAAGATGAATGCATGTGAGTGTGTGTGGATACAAATGCGGATACAAATTTGTAACACGAATCAACTGATTTGAATAATTCAAAAAGCATTCGATTCGTATTGATAAAGAGACGTGCTGATTAGTTTTTGGCAAAAGCAGGTCCAACTGTTTTGAAGATACAGGGTAAAAAGAGCCAAAAACGGTAACTCAGCTTTTCAGTTCTCAGTCCGATTTCAATAATTCAAAAAAGATTTTACTTGTTTTTTTACTTGTATTGACAAAATGAAGAACTAATTATATATTTAGAAAGGCAGGTCTACCGGTTTCGGAGATCGAGTAAAAAAATAAAAAAAATGCCATTTGGCGGTCAAACATTATAAAAGACGTCATTTTTGTTTTCAAAAAAGTTCATTCAAATTCTCAAAAATCTAATCTTATTAAAGATTTAAAAAAAAATAATTTATTTCAACAAATTTAAATTTTGTTACGAGAAGTTCCAGCAATTTGTCTTAAGGCACGATGCCATACATCACTAGTTTATGTTTGTATATGAATTTATTATTATAATTTTAGTTTTGGATAGAAAAATGGCAACTGTTGAATTATAACGATAATTTCTAACTAAAAAGTATGAAAGCAAACAATATAAATTCTTCTTAATACATAAATGATACCAAGTATAGATTTTAAGGCGAATCCGAAAGCATTTTGCGCGCCTTAAAATGACTGATTATAATTGCATTTCTTGTCAAAGAATCATCATATAATTTTGCAATTACTTGGGCATAAAAAGCCGCACCCATAATTTAATAATTAAGTTGTGATTATAATTTTTATTGCTTTTTTAGATGAAGTAGCGCCACTATTCTTATTATGAAAATAATTTATTAATTTTGAAATTAATTGAATATGAGAAGAATAGTATATGCATTCTGATAGATACGGTAATCTAATTCAGTACGGTATTCCAATACTTTTTCTGATAATTAGGAACAAATTTAAACATATTCAAACTGAAAATAAGTGGAACAAACAGTACGTCCTTGTAAGAATAATAATTTAAACAACCTCAGTTAAAATAATTGTACATATTTATATTTGCTATTCAATTGTATATCTCAAACATAAAAATACCAATAAAAGCTTTCTAAAAATCATTTTTGGTTTATTTTAAAAGTTTAACGAAATTTATAGAGAGTCATATATAAATTCATACGACTAGAATTTTGTTAATAAAAACAACTTCACTATTTATAGTCTAAAAATAAACTACTATTTTCAGCAAAACAGTGTTTGTGGCGATCATCAATTAGAGTGTTATATATCTTAATAAAATTTTATTTTTTGGTAATACTAATTAGTGTCCAACGTCAATTTGACACGATTCACTTGATTTCAATAAGTCTAAACATTTCGTTACAATGAAAATTGACCAAGTCGATTTCTTACATGTACATATTTCTAT